TAGATAGATAGATAGAACTAGAAACATGTTTGTGTATATCAAAATAAAAATATTATAAAATGTATCAGTACCTGTACGTGCATTCATCCTGTCAGAATATTCTATTTTTCTTAACCACACTCAGAAACGCGCTGAATCATTTCTTTGTTTTCGAAAAAAAAAACGTGAAAATTAGTTAAATATTCAGCGAGTTAAAGTTGATTCAAATTGATTCTGTTCCTGCTCAAGACATCACACCGAGGGGAGCTGTCGACCTCCCCAAGATGGCGCCACCAAATCCTGTCAGCGCCCATAGACGACAGCTGTCGATGCGGGATCTACTCTTATATGTTTGGTGTGTGATACATGAGTTAAAACCCCTGCCCCTCACGAGAAATGACCCAAAAAAGTAAGAAAAACAATAAAATAACGAAATAAAATAACGAGAAAAATATTATAGTGTACCCGGAAGTTATTCTGTCTGCGCATGCGCAGATCGGGTAGCGACATCCACCGCTCAGAAGCTGTTAAAGGGACATTAAAAGATAAAGTAACAAGATGTGAAGACTGCAGCTACAGCGGCAGGAGAGAAAAGACTAAAATGGAGGACAGAGATCATCTTCATCCCAACATCCTGGAAGCTGCTTTAAAGCCAGAAGTTCTGCATCTGAAAGGTTTCTATGTTTCCATGTTAGTGTAAAGGAAAGCTCTGTGTTTGCTCCTGGAAGGTTTCTCTCTCAGGTTGTTTTCCTGAGCAGAGATCAACCAGGACAAACTCTTTCAATAACACTTTAATGTTTATGTGTGATTTAACCAGGAGACATGAAAACAGAAATTATAATCTTGGTCAGTTACAGAAGGCAGCTGCTTAGAAAACTGGGCTCACATCTAGTTGAAGTGGTCTGATTCACAGTTAGAGAAGCATTTTATACAACTCCAGTCTGCCACATCATTACATCATCACATCATTACATCATCACATCATTACATCATTACATCATCACATGTTTGCAGATGAGCAGACATCCAGAGACACCGCTCTCATTTTGTTCCCACATCTTTGCCACCTGCAGAATGAAGATGACTTTTTATCCTGACAGAGGAACTGTCATAATTAG